GAGCTATCTTGGGTCCTTTTAAAGGAGAAAGTTGGGTTAGAAGTATTTGCAATCAATCAATCAGTTGCTTTACCCGGCTGACCCCTGGGCAAATCAATTCATTATTCTGCCCATCAAGAAAAGCAGCAAGCTGCCTTCCATGGTCCTAGAGAGATCAGGGGCAGACCCGGAACCTTTGGCGTGAAAGGCATGGGAAGCTGAGGCAGAGACGGTGACTCTTGGGCTGTTGCCAGGTGGTCCGTCTGCCCAGCCCACCTCCTCTTGCGGGCGAGCAGCTCTGGGTCATGACCCCTCCCTCCTGGTACCTGCTCTGCAGGCATTAAATATTTATTCTTTAAATCCCGTGATTTCAGTGCAGCGCTTCACATTCATCAGCACTTATTTCCTGCTGTTTGGTACAGGACGAGACGGTGGCGTCAAAAGGGATCCGTTTCTCCGGATCACTTACACCCCTTGCATTGTGTGTTTAGTGTAGACTTCCTCCTTGCCCGCCCACCCCCTCCACAATTAGGGCGCTGGAATTTGCCAAGGCTTCTTCTGTTTCAGGAAGAAATTGCTGTATAGACACCTTCCCAGCCTGGTGCCCTCCAGATAGGTTGGTCGGAAACGTCCGCCATCTCCAGCAAACATCTCGCTGGCCAGGGTGGCCGGGCTGTACCCGGGCCCCTCTGAAGGCTCTGGCCTGGGGAAGCCTGCCTTGCCAGTCAGGCTCACCTCTTGCCTTAACCTCCTCCGGGGCACACAAGGAAGTCTCTTCACAATTAGGAGCAGACTGGCTCCTTTTTTTATGGCAGAGTGTGTGGGGGGGTGCTCTCGTACAGTTTTACTCCCTTCGTCTTTGTAAAGCCACCTGAGCCGTAGAGTTTTCATTCCATTATTTTATAGCCGCACCTCTTTTAAAAAGGTTTGGTTTCTGCCATATGGAAGCCCAAGTCTGTAGGACAGGGGTCAGGGAACTTTTTTACCTTTTACCCCCCCAAAAAAAAATTATTTATGTTGACATTACCCCCCCCCTTGGCTCTTGCTGTCCACAGCCGACCCCTGCCCCTCCTGCGCTCGCCCGGGGCCTGTGGCCACCGTCTAGGCAGCCAGTCTGGAACTGCCACACCGCTGAGAAAGCACATCCTTGGAGAGCGGAGGCGGGCACCGCAGGCCTGGCAGGTCCACTGGCCATGGGTGGGAAGGGGGCCTCCTTGACAGTGCACCAGGCAGGTGGGCGCAGGTAGGAAGGAGAGCCCCGGCCAGGGCTCCACCAGGCAAAGAGTCCAGCTGGCCAGGTCCACTGCCCTTGCCTCAGAGCTCCCTAATCTAGCCCCCAATCTGAGGTTACACGTTCTTCTACTAGCGTACCTCCCCGTGAGGTAAGCCTAGAAGATTACCTACGCGCTCTCAGATTGTCCCTGACTAGACCCCCCCTTGCTCTGGGCACACTTGCCAAGGCTTTGCTGGACCGCTGGACAACTGGACCAGTCGTATCCCACACGCTGGACACCAATCAATGTGACAAACCCAGACCTACTGGGATCTGCCACACGTTAACTAAGCTGCCACCAACCATTCCCTGTAAGAAGTCACACAGACCAGGGATGGATTTTTAACCAATAAAAGAATAAGGTTTATTTAAATACAACACACAGGGAAAATAAAATGATCAGGTGAATAAGATAAAGTAACGTGGCTTATTCTCATTCATACATGCATACAGTTTGGTTCGCACAGAACCCTTAACTTGAAGCACAGACCCTGAACCTATCAGTTCTGGCTAACCAACAGACACCTGAACCTATCAGGTTGGTACTCTGACACACAGTAGTACCCTGTCTGACACACAGACTCCCACACCAGCTTCTTCTTCCCAGCTGCTGCTTCGTCACATCCCAGCGTCTCCCCTTCACCACACAGGCTTCACATATATATACAGTACAGCCCCTCCTCCTGATGTCCCGCCTTCCACTCCCCATAGGATGGAACTTTCCCTCCAAACCCATGACAGACAGGTAACATCAGTGCTGTATGTAACAGTGCCCTGTGCAGTTCCTCGCCAGGGCTCACTCTCCCAGCGATGAAATGCCCACCTACACACAGCATCGTCGGAAATAAAATGCCTGGGGGTAAAATGCCTGCAGCGACCACCCCCATTACCCCCAGGATTTTCATTTTTACCCCATTTGGGGTAATATACCCCTGTTTCCTGACCACTGCTGTAGGATATATGAACCTGCTCAAACTCAAGTTTGTGGAATAATTGCCAAAATCATAAGTAACTTGTTCTGAATGTGGTTTTTGCACAATGGAGAAAACCCCTGTGAGAGGCCATGGATAAGACCTTTGGTGGAACCCTAAAGGATTCGGCCCTTGTTCTGTTTCCAAATTCAGCCTTAAATGATTTCCCGCGTTTCCTACGCAATGTGGAGTAGCAAAACAACGCCCCTGAGAATCTCCACCAGTTTTCCTTGGGTCTGCTGAGGAACAAAACCCATGCAAGGCTTTTTGGCCTTTGTACCTGCTCTGCGACCCAGATGGTACCCCCCCCCACACACACAGCCTGTAAATCCCCCTCACCATCCTCCTTAAGTTTTGTGATGTGTTGCAACACCTTTCCTGAGCTGTTGGCAACACAGTGTGGCATAAGAGGCCTGTGGCAGGGAAGCGGATATCCATTCTCCGGCCACGTCCTGAGAGGTTTCCTCAGCATCAATGGCCGCTTGCTTTTTTCATCTCTGCAACCTGCAGTCGGACTTAAAATCCTTCCGCGGCCATGCCCAACCAAGGGCAGCGTTCCCTTCTTGCTCGCTTTTTATCACAGCCGTGGCACTCCACAAAGCCGCCTGCCCTTACCTGAAGCAAGGGGGGGGGCCCTGCAGCAACCACCTCAGGGCAGCTCCCTTTAATGAGCTCTCCTTCAGAAATGTTTAGAAAACCACCGAGCGCCAGTGTCTGGATTAAAGGCCGAACCCGTCAAACTTGGCAGAACCCCCCCCCCAATGCAAACAGAAGCCCAGCCTGCCGGGAGCGCAGCCCTCTTGTCAGCAGAGAAGTGGTTAGGAGGGGAGCGCGTGCGCACGGATGTGTTTCTGCATGTGTCTGTGTGCGCATGGGTGGGTGTGAGAGAGAGCATGCAAGCGAGCGATCAAGAAGGAGACCAGGAGCCTTCCGGGTGTTTTGGAGAACAGCGTGGTCTCCTGGAGAAGGTGAGGGCTTTGCCTTTTGTAAACCCTGGTTCAAAATCCATGGCGCTGAACAGCCAAGTATTTGAGGAAATGAGGCTGAAGAACGTCTACAAAAAGGGATCACAAGGGGTTTGTTTTCAATCTATCTCCTTCGCGCCACACAGCTCTGTCCCCGCATCCTAATCCACCCGCTGAAGACAAACCAGCTGGTGAAATGGGTGGAAGCAACCGCCACATCCAGCATCACAACATCCCTCTTTTAGGCAGCTAAGAAAACAGGGGTGCCTTCAATCTAAAATGGGGTGGCCTTAAAGGGCTTCCTGTTTGACTCTGAGATCTGTGCCTCTTTCCAAAAGTTCTTTAACTTTGCTGCTCTTCTGAATGAAACTTAGTTATCATACGAGCAGAACCCAAAAGCTGGATCGTTTCATGCCTGTTTCTGTTTTTGTTTTTTGAGGAAACTTTTTGATTGGGTTAAACATGTTAAGGAATCTCTCTCTCTCTCTCTCTCTCTCTCTCTCTCTCTCTCTCTCTCTGTCTTCCCCACTCCCAGACAGCCAGACAGACTTTGCATTTAGCCCCTTTCTTGATTGCTTCATGCAAGGCAGTTATATTCTAAGTTTTCTCTTTCCACATCTGTGGGAACTCCCAGGCACAAGATATTAAAGTTGGTAGCCAATAGCAACATCCCTATTAGAATAAACTTGTCACGCTAAGCACTAATAAATGTAATGACTGTATTTTGCAAATTCCCTTTTTCTGCGCCCGGCGTCTTCATTGGAAGGTAATGCTCCCCAGGCTTTTGCTTCTACTGATAGGCGAGCAGCCCACTAATTTACGCCTGTTCTTCAGTCAATGCTGCGGTTTATATACTTTCAGCTAATAGCATTATGAGCATAGTTTTGTACTAATTCAAAATTAGATCTCTCATTTGCATAAACAAATTACTGTTTGGATTAGTGCTAAATAGTTAAGACAGCTGATAGTGGAGCAGATTTGATTTGGCAGGAATGGCTGGTGGCATATTGATAGATGTGCAGAATTGTGATGCGAGTTGGTATTCTTATAGATGCAAAACCAGCCTGTCTTGCAGGCTAAAGGTAGGCAGAGTTGTCTCCACACAAAGTTCCTGTAAAAAGAGAAACCAAGTTTCCAGCCTAAATGCTTATGGAGAAGAGTTCACCTGTCTCTGTGGTCCAAGAGGAACGTGCTTTTATCTGCCTCGGGGGGCACTAGCCACGAAGGTGCGCACCACCAAGCCAAAATCAAGACTGGATGTGACCAGGCACTCATTTACTGCACCCTCTCCTGTTGATGAACAGTCCAAAGCAAAGGGGAAGTACGAGCCTTGGGTCATTTTGTGTGTGTGTGTGTGTGTGTGTGTGTGTGTGGATCACATACAACCTCCACTTTTCCCATCCCTGTTCTACTGTCTGATGCCGTACTGGTTCCATCAATGTTCTTGGTGGATGGTAGCATTGCAGAATAGCTGTGAGCCCAAGCAGGATCACCTAAGATAACCTAAACTTGCTTCTGCTGTTGGTTGTGAAGTTGTCCTTAGGCAAATGTACCTCTCTTACTCGCAGCTGGCATTCTCCCCGGCTCCATTGGCAATGGCCGTCTTAGAGGGTCATCACAAGGCTGAATGCCCAAATTTATATGCCACCTTCCTCCCAAAACAAGACTCAAGTAGCGTTATGAAACAGATTTTTTTAAAAGATACAAATGGAATTACAGACTTTGAACTAGGATTTATGTTCATTTTGTATTAAATTTAAAATGCTTTAAAATACTTTATTCAAAAATATTAACCCGGGTTTTTCTTTGCAGGTCTCTGGGGCAGAATTCCTCCCGCCACCCTACCATGGGGAGCAAGTCCCAGGCTTTGCAGCACCGCTGGAGGAACAGAAGCCTGCGCTGTATTGGAGGAGTCATGTACAGGGTGTCCGCCAACAAGCTCGCCAAAACCTCTAGCTCCCCGCTCAAGAGTGGTGAAGCCACATGCAGGAGCCACGCCAGGGCAGGTAGGCAGCATCAGTGGAATGCAAATGTGAAACGGCTACACACCAGACTGGAAATGTTCTCTCCTAAGGGTCGTTTTTCCAGCACCTCCAGCTTTGCTGGGGTTTCCTGGTTTCTGTTTTTCTCAGGAAGTGCTCCAAAACTGAGCTTGCTTGCTCAACGGCAAGAGAGCTCAGCTCCTTGGTAGCCCAACTTAAATTGCCTTGGTAGGAATGGAAGTTCTAAATTACTTCAAAGCTCCCTACACAATTCTTCTTTTCCAGTTAGGACAAACTTTTCCAGTCCTTGCGGACACGGTATCAAAGAGCTGTAACTGATGTTCAGAAGCTCAACCCTGCTGATGGCTGCGTTCACATGTCATGTTTAGCTCCGATTTATGTAAACTGTGGTTTGTTGCTTTAGCCTAGGATTCTGCAACAGCTGACCCAACAAATCCATTTCTTTTCCTTGTTGCTAGCTTGTTTCCTCCTACCCTTCCACGTCATTGTTGTTTAGTCATTTAGTCGTGTCCGACTCTTCGTGACCCCATGGACCAGAGCACGCCAGGCCCTCCTATCTTCCACTGCCTCCCGTAGTTGTGTCAAATTTATGTTGGTTGCTTCGCAGACACTGTCCAGCCATCTCATCCTCTGTCGTCCCCTTCTCCTCTTGCCTCTAGTCCTCTAGTTCACTGATGCCCAGGATGTCGATGTTTATTCTTGCCTCTCCTGTTTGACCACATCCAGCTTCCCAAGGTTCATAGATCTTACATTCTAGGTTCCTATGCAGTATTTTTCTTTGCAGCATTGGACTTTCCTTTCACTTCCAGGCATGTCCACAGCCACTTCATTAGCTCTGGAGCTACTTGTACTTGTCCTCCGCTCTTCCTCACTAGCATGTTGGATACCTTTCGACCTGAGGGGCCCATCTTCCAGCGTCGTATCTTTTAGCCTTTTGTTTCTGATCATGGGGCGTTCTTGGCAAAGATACTGGAGTGGCATTGCCATTTCCTACTCCAGGTGGATCGCGTTTAGTCGGAACTCTCCACTATGACCTGTCCGCCTTGGGTGTCCCTGCACGGCATAGCCCATAGCTTCTCTGAGTTACTCAAGCCCCTTCGCCACGACAAGGAAGCAATCCATGAAGGGGTACCCTTCCAGTCTTTCTGTCAATTCCTTGTTAAGGGTGAGCATCTGAGGAATCGAGCCATGAAGAAGAAGCCAAAGTTTTGGGATCAGAAGTTATGACCATCCATAGTTTAAAACTATTTGGAGTTTATAATCCAACAATAAGCCGTGGTGTCTTTTGCAGTTTCCAGCTAGCCAACAAACCTGTGGGTTCTTTCTTGGGATGGGTTTTTGCAGCTCCATGAAGGATGGAATTTTGTTTTCTGGCCATGAGTTCTGAGTTTTTGAAGCTGTCAGTTGACAGAATTCGGAGGAGCGGAACCACGAGAGGTTCTTCCTCTGATCATCCTCTGACGGCCACCAGGGTCAGCAAGCATATCGCCGCCGCCACCCCGGCCTGCACAATATTGCTGTTATTGAGGTCCCAGAATCCGTCAGCTGGCAAAAAGTAACTTTTGCAAGCTCTGGACCTAAGGGAGGGCCTCTGGCCGTTCTGCAGCAAATGTTTCACACCATTCTGTCTCTTTTCACCCTTCTTGTCATTCGGATCAGTGAGATCTGGCGAGTGTTGTTCAGGCCGGGAGGTGCAGAGAAAATGGCAAGAGAGCGCCCCCCCCAGTCTTTGTACAGAAGGTGGGAGGGGGCTGGGGAGACTTGCGTATTGAGATATTATTTTATGTGGAAAGAACAAGTGCAAAAAAGGCAACCTTTCCCCCAGCTTTGCTTTGCTTTGCTCTGCTTTTTTCCGACACCCCAGCTCCGGTTTCCTCCTCCAGGTTGCTTCCCGATGCTCTTGGGAGACCGATTACCTGGCAAGGATATTTCATCAACGGTGTTGCGCCCTCTCCCCCTCCCGCCCCCACCCTCACCTACCACCATCTCTCCTTCTCTGCTATTATCTGCACACTTTTTAATTTTCCATCAGAGGCGCCCGGCGAGTTAATCCGCGGTTTAAGCTAAATCTCCACCCTCTTCACCTGCCGAGATGAGGTGCCGTAAGCATTTCTCTCCACTCCTCTCCGTTCTCCGGCATGCTCCTAATTCCCTCTCTCATGCCTGTTACGCCAGCAAAGGGAGGAGGAAGTTGGGAACGGCTCGCTCTTTGTTCAGGAGTTGCTGCTTTCTCACTCTAAATTTCTGGCCAGGGGTTTCCGAAACTCCCAAAGCTCTCCCTCCCCCAAACCCCCTCCCATGGGGTTCTTCTGCTGACTGCGATTTTTATTTTTATTTTTAATTTTTTTTTTGCATCCATCTCAAGATCCTGTTAGCCTCCTTCGTTATATTCCTCTTCCGGAGCTCCTTGTATTCCTGTTTCATGTTTCATCTGCTCCGTTGGAGATTCGTTGCTGTTCTTGTTAAAAAGAACATTCTTTTTATTTTTCTCTCGGAGTTGAAATGGGCAAATGAAGAAGACGGAGCGCACATGGATTTTTTTTGGTGGTGGTGGTGATGGTGGTTCACGGTTAACTGGGATGATGAAGATGAGGATGATCTGTCCCAAGCATTTCCCTCCCCCTGGTCTTATGGCTGTGAAATGGGGGTGCCTGTCTGGGAGCTGTGCAGGAGCATTTCAAATCTGATTAGGCCTTAATCAGCCGGCCCCAGGTGTCCACCGACCTCTGTCTTGTTTATCCTATCTGACTCATTTCCTCTTAGCAAGCCAGCTTA